ACACCACTAACTCGATCATAAACTAACATTCACTTTGAACACCACTAACTTAATCATAAACTAACATTCACTTTGAACACCACTAACTCAATCATAAACTAACATTCACTTTGAATACCAATAACTTAATCATAAACTAACATTCACTTTGAACACCACTAACTCAATCATAAACTAACATTCACTTTGAATACAAGTAACTTGATCATAAACTAACATTCACTTTGATCACCACTAACTCGATCATAAACTAACATTCACTTTGAATACAAGTAACTTGATCATACACTAAAATTCACTTTCAACACCACTAACTCGATCATAAACTAACATTCACTATGATCACCAGTAACTTGATCATAAACTAACATTCACTTTGAACACCACTAACTCAATCATAAACTAACATTCACTTTGAATACAAGTAACTTGATCATAAACTAACATTCACTTTGAAAACCACTAACTCGATCATACACTAACATTCACTTTGATCACCAGTAACTCAACCATAAACTAACATTCACTTTGATCACCACTAACTCGATCGTAAACTAACATTCACTTTGAATACAAGTAACTTGATCATAAACTAACATTCACTTTGAATACAAGTAACTTGATCATAAACTAACATTCACTTTGAATACAAGTAACTTAATCATAAACTAACATTCACTTTGAATACCAGTAACTTAATCATAAACTAACATTCACTTTGAATACCAGTAACTCGATCATAAACTAACATTCACTTTGAATACAAGTAACTTGATCATAAACTAACATTCACTTTGAATACAAGTAACTTGATCATAAACTAACATTCACTTTGAAAACCACTAACTCGATCATACACTAACATTCACTTTGATCACCAGTAACTCAATCATAAACTAACATTCACTTTGATCACCACTAACTTAATCATAAACTAACATTCACTTTGATCATTAGTAACTTGATCATAAAATTACATTCACTATGATCACCAGTAACTTGATCATAAACTAACATTCACTTTGATCATTAGTAACTTGATCATAAAATTACATTCACTATGATCACCAGTAACTTGATCATAAACTAACATTCACTTTGATCATTAGTAACTTGAT